GAGCATTACTTTGTCAATATGTTCCTGCAAAGGAAGATTATGAGCTCAAACTTAAGCTCTTCTCTTTAATCTCCCAGCATTTTCAATTCYGTCAAGCTTTCATCCTGAACTTTAAAAAAGACTACTAAAATCATACAAAAACAACTAAAAGCCTGCTATGAATTCACGGTCTCCATGGAAATGCTAGAGATAGATGCTGTGTTGATGTCTTCATATATCTCTTAGACTATTTTGTTAATGCCTTTTATGTATGGTACTTGGCAGTTTACAAAGCCTTTTCTCGCTTATTATCTCAGTTAATCCTCACAGCAAAYCCACATGGAAAGTATTACCCTCATTTAGCATATTATAAAACTGAAGTTTGGAGAAGATAAGTGGCTTAGCCAAGCTTTAAACCATTTGTAAATGGTAAAATCAATATTTGAATATCAGTTTGCCTAATGCCAAGACCCCTGTTCTTGGCACTATAACCCAAACATCATAGCCTAGAGAAATGGGTTACCCGGATATATTAGTGCCCTTCCTTATCCTGTAAAAATTCACCTCATGGTCCACATCTCTTGGAGGCACTTTGCACTCTTGATATAGAGCCCAAGGAAAGCATCTACAGCAAGGAATTAGCAAATTATGGTTACAGTTCCAGCTTTACAAATGACCTTGTTCTTCTCATGTAATTGATCACTTTTTCATAGATAAATAGAAATAATTACTGCCCATTCTCTCCCTTTATCTCCTCTACCAACACTACTCTAGATGAAATACAATAAACTTCCTAAAGCCAGGAACATCATAAAACTTTGAAAATGAATGACTTAGCACATATTCAAAGCACATGGTGATTTCCAGTGATTTGAGGATGTTGGCAAAGATGGTTTTTTTTTTTTACTCCTCCATAATTTTTCCCAACTAGTATTGTCAGTTCCCCATATATATTTAAGTCAAGAGAGCCCTCACCAGAAACCAATTCCACCAGTCCTTCATCTGGAGCTTCTAATTTCCAGATCTATGAGAAAATAAATTTTCATTGTCCAGGACACTCAGTCTATGGTATTTTTGTTATGGAATCCATGCAAACTAAGACACAGTATAAATGCAAATCTGTTTCTCTTATTATTTTCTAATTTTCCAGTCATACATTACTCATCTCACCTTTATCCGGATATTGGACAGGAACAACAATTTCAAGAATACATGTATTTTATTCTAAATATATGAACTACCCACAGGGTGTCTTAACCTTAAAATACAGTTATGTTTCACTGCTGTAGGGTAAAAATATATTATTTTAACCCACTAGGTTTTTTATGTTTTTTTTTAAATATTTTTTAGTTGTTGGTGGACCTTTATTTATTTATTTATTTATGGTGCTGAGAATCGAACTCAGTGCCTCACACATGCCAGGCAAGTGTGCTACGTCTGAGCCCTAGCCCCAGCCCCTAACCCACTAGTTTTTAAGATGACATGCAATGTAGTTTTTGTGCTCACATTGAGTTTATTTGTTCATCTATTTATTCATTCTTTCACTACACTTTAAACTGATAAAAGAGAGAATATGTCCATCTTGCTTACTCAAAAAATTTGTAACAGAACCTCAACTTAAATCAGTTTAAACAAAGAAAAAAAAACTTATTTGCTCACATAATTTCCCAGTCTAAGGTTAGATTGTTGATATGGTAGAATTGAGTGGGCATCTTAAAAGAGAAATCATGGGGATAGGGATGTAGCTCAGTGGTAGAACATTGGCTAGTATGTGTGGAGGCCTGGGTTTAATCCCTAGTACCATACAATGAAGGAAAAAAAGAAAGAAATAGAGGGAGGGAGGGAGAGAAGGAAGAGAAAGAGGAGGAAGAGGAGAAAGAAGGAGAAGAAGAAGGAAAACACAGCCTCTTCATTACTTAGTCTTACTCAGAGGAAACTCTGTGTTGGCTTCTTTCTTAGGCAGGCTCCCCATTGATAACGACAAAGATATTTCTAAGCAGCAATGGATTTTTATTCACAGCTATTATTTCAACAAATAAGATGCTCCTTTCCAAATGTATCCTGCAAAGGGGYTAGGGAACGATACAATTGACTTTGCTAAGGTCATGTGTTTATACTTGATCCAATAACTTACCTTAGTCCAGGAGAACAAGGTCGTCAGACATTGGTTAGACACAGGACTATGTCCATTTCAGGAGCTGAAAGTAAAGTCAGCTCTTCCTAAACACAGGCACAAAACATGGAAAATGCAGTTTCTTGTGGAAAAACTAGACAAGAGGGCCAAGGGCACAGAAAACTAAGAAATTTATTCCCACTCTATTGGACATCCCTACTTATGTCCATTCCCATTACTTACCACAGTCTGTTGAAGTAAAAAAGCATTCAAATCTAAAATCAAGTTCTCCTGAGTTAAGGCTTAAAGAAAGTCCTCTTTGATGTCTTGTTCCGCTCATTCTCAGCTAGAGTCTTTCTATCAGCACCTGTGATCTGAGCGATTTCTCACGGGAACTGGGGTAGTTATCCCAGGTAAAAAATGTTCCTCCCAGAACACAGCATTTGTTAAGTTTTGGTAATATTTGAAATAGGAAGATAAGATGGATTTACCTCACTAGGATGCCAGGAAGTCTATGCAGTGGTCCAGAATCCATGGTCTCTAAACTTAGGCAGAAATTATCTTCCCACGGGATATTCATTGAGGCACTATGTATCTGTCTCTGTTCCTACTGAATACATTTGAGATATTACAGTCTTCTGGCAAAGGTCTAAAGTTGCAGCAAGCCCAAACCAAGCACTGGCTTTAAGCTGAGAATTCTTTCTTTCTTCATCCTGTGAATTCTAATGACTGCTTTCCCTAGTACTTCAGCGCTACATCGATGGCAAGTTCTGTGTGGGGAAAACCTCTGCTGTATCTTGAGGGCAGGCAGTCACTTTCCAGTTTCCTATTTTAGTGGCTACTGCCACTTCTCTTTTTGAAGGTCTGCTTATGACTGAGATGCTTGCTTCTAAAGAAATGAGTTTCCCTTTCTCTACTTTATTTCATCAGGAAGTTCTCTTTTCAGATTCCCAAACTGAAGATGCTTTTGATGCTTTTTAATGCCATGTTCCTAAAGGAGACCAGCACCACACATGGTTCTCATGATGACATTATTCCTAGCTCTCCTCTGCTTTTGAATTCTRAAAAGTTCTCAAGGCATGTTTCTTCAAGGCACTGGCAACACTACTTCTTACCTTCTGTCTTATGTTGAAACTCGAAACTCTTTTTAATATTTTTGCTTTTGAACATATGAATTCAAGACTCATTACCTACTTCCTCCTTACCAATACCTAGAKTTTTAAATATTCCTATCTCTTCCCTTCCACAGAGCCCTTGGGTTTCCAGGACACTTAATATATCCTCGAATTCTGGGAAGGGTCCAGTTTGGTTTAAACCAAGCTGCACAATCCATTTCTCCAGGGGGGGAAAAACAGTAATGGGAATAATGGGAATGTGACCTAAATTTGTTTAGTTAGGACAAATTTCAGAACTTTTTCTCACAAAAGTTTAAAAAAGTATGTTTCTCCCTCCACTGGTCATGGAAACAGGAGCATGTGTCTGGCAACCATCCAATAACTGTAATGGAAGGACATGATAGAACTTGTATGAAAAAAAGCAATGGATGTCTCTTATCACAGTATCATCTTGGATATCACCTTTACTTCAAAGAATAATTGGCCAAACTAATTGAGGAACTTCTCTGATAATACAGTTCTGAGCTTAAGGCATATTTATTTCTCACTCACTCTCTCTCCTCACTGGTGGAAAAGTACTATCCCTGGAGGGTGGATTTTATTTTTCAAACACCTAGAAATTACTCAGATTCAAGAGTAAATGAGTAGGTGACCAGCTTGAATAATAGTATTTCTGTGTTTTTTAAAATATTTATTTAGTTGTATATGAACACAGAGTATCTTTATTTATTTTTATGTGTTGCTGGGGTTTGAACACAGTGCCTCACACATGCGAGGCAAGAGAGARAGCTTTTACCAGAGAGCTAAAGCCTCAGCCCTTTTTTTTTTTTAAGGAAAAACTTTTTACTTATGAATGGTTTCCCTGTTACTAAACCATTTGTCCTTGTTGCAGTATCTTTTTGAGCAAATATAAACCACTTTGTTTTAGTTTCAAGAAGAAAATGTTCTTGTGTCCTAGTGAGCTCCAGCTTTTCTATGATATTCTTAAATATTTAAATTCTAAAAGAATCTTAAAGTATCTAATTCTTAGAAAAATATATAATAAAACCAAAACTTTAAGCACCTGAACATTGCATCTCAAGGCTAAAACCCAAGTTTCCCTTGACAAATTGCCAACGTGACCATGAACACCTGCATGTGCACATGACATCATAATGAAGACTTGTGAAGAGGGTGCTTCGAAGTGGAAAGTATTCTTTGCTTAGTCTGGTGCGTTCAGACAGTGGAACAGGCTAGAAGGCAGATGGCTGCATATCTGTGTGGCCCTCCCACATGCCTTACACACRTTCAAAGTTCCTATTTTATAGAAGTAACTGTCACTACTTCCTTTTCTCTCAAAAACTCCCTTATTATACATTCTAGCAGAGGAAATAAATCTTGGCAAAAATCATTTCCATTTAAGTTATCCAAGAAATGCTATTCCCATACCAATCTAAAGATGACAAATTCGCCCCTATTTTTTTAAATACCTCCAGTAAAGAAGTCTTCATTAGTAAACTATTTCAGATTCCAGGATTCTAAAAATGATTTTTCTGTCATAACAATTATACAATTATTTTGAGGACTATGTTAAGATATAGAACATACCTTATTCAATTTTTTAAAGAAGGATGATCCCTTGACAGGCTTTTATAAGGAAACGGATAGGATGTAAGAAAATCAGATTCTTTAAAAACGTATAAAGTGCTGGGCATGATGGTGACACTAAATGAGGCCTCAGATATAACACAGGAAGCAGAAAGTTTATCTACCAAATAAATAAGACAATGAGTCATCAAAACCACAAGCCATTTTATTTATCAAGGATGTCAGTTAAAAATCTATTTCCCCATGAAAAAGAGAAATACATTGAAGGGAGAGGCAAAGAATTAAAGAGTGGTATCATGATTCCTAACAGCAAGGAYAATGACACAGCAGTGATTATTCAGGGAAACAAGGAAGCTTGGAGCAGGACATATCTGAAGGCCAAGGGACAGCAGGGCCACCAGGAGAGGTAGAAATTAGAAAGAGAAAACCAGAGGTAGAACAAAAGGTGCATGCAGAAAATATATCTGCAGAGGGACTTAATAGTAAGACGTAGGTCTAAATCCAAGTTCTGGATTAAAAAGATATAAAACTAGAATCCTAAAATAAAATTTCTAAGTCTAATCATGTAATGTYTCGATGTCCCCTTATTTACTCATCACCTTTACATTCTCTATAAGCCTATTTAAGCAAAGGGTCAGTAACAGCAAATATACTCTCTCATCTTGGTTTACATTTTCTAAGCCATTTGACAAAGTTGTAGATTGGTTGAGATCAGAGTGAGAAGAGCTTATTGAAGCAGGATTGACAATAGGTCTTGTCATTCTGCTCCCTGAAGATGCCCTTTGACAACTGTGTCAGGCAGAATGCACACACAAAGTGCTCAGGGTGGAATTTATGACCCATGGCACTGATGCAGCGACCAGTGATGGGCTGCCCACATCCATGGCAGAGGGTTCCTCGGCGGTGATGATAGTGGAGCTCACAGAATGGACGTCCATCCAGTTCAAAGAAGGAGCCAGTAGAAAAAGTGCTGAAGCAGTCCTAGAGGTGGAAAAGGGGCAGAAAAGGAATGCATGTGTCAAGAGGTGAAATATCAGCAAAGTAAAATATTCAGATTTGAAATTCCTGTCAAGTTATCTCCTAATTGTGGTAATTTAACTCCAGGTCATTTACAAATGGAGTTCAGATTGCCCCACTTGCAAAATAGATGCAAATGGCTCACAGCAAATGCTGTGATTTATTTATCCTTCAGGAAGTCCACATGAATTCCTCAACTAAGACCATGAACCTTTTAYAAGTTGTAGCTCTTCTGAGAGAAGAGAACCCTAGATTTCACCTAAATCAAAAAGACAATGGAAAATACAGACCCCGCACACAAAGCATTCTGGGTGCCAGACATTGTCCATAGCTGAAAGGTAGTTTTCCAACACTGGGCGGTTGCAACCACCACACTTGGGTGAAAACATGGCTAAGAAATCTTTTCTGCAGTATGGCTTCTTGTCCTTCTCATGAAAGCCTGCAGAGATAAAATCAAAGATTCACAGTTGTAAATTTGAGCCCTGAAAGCTAAGTCAGAAGCAGAGATGAAGTCAATGACCTAACCTCTCCCAATCTCAGTGTCCTCATATCAAAACAGGGTAATTACAAATACCTTCAAAGGGTTCCTGGAAAAAAATAAACAAGACAATGCAGATAAAGTGTTTCAGAGTTGTGCTTGGATCACAGGAAGCATTTAACAAGTTTGTTAAGGGCCCTTTCTCCTCACTGCCTTTGTCCTGAGTATCCTTCACTCTGAACAGTTTTGCCCCAGATGTGATACAGCTGACTTCTTCTTACCACTCAGGAATCAACTCAAATGTCATCTTATCAGGAAGGAATGTCTTCAGTTTCTCTTTATCACTTCATCTTTTTTCATTGTTCTTAAGACATTTACCATTATCTGAAAGCATCTGCCATCCCTCACTAAACATTAGCTCTCAGAGAAACAAGATATTGTTGATCTTGTCTCCATTATAACCCCAGAATATAAAATGACATTTAAAAAAGTGCTTAATATTTTAAGATAAAATACTACAAAATAATAATTTTTAAATGAATGCAAGATCTCAATATAATAATTCAAACCACACAAATACTTAAAGTGGATTGGTTTCTCTTTAATCTGGAAATAGGCTCAAATATTTGAAATGCAGGCTAAAGATAAATATATTTAGTAACATAAAAATACATGAATGAATGACTTATGAATGTTGGAAAAACATCAAAACAATGTCTAAGAGAAAGAACAATGTGAAGAGAAATATTTGCTAATTATATTCTAGAAAAACAAGGCTAATATAAGAAGCTCCTAAATGTACATATTATTTGGATTATTGTATCAAATTGAAAAGTGAAAAATTGCCAGGTATTGTGGCACAGACCTATAATGCCAGAGATTCTGGAAGCTGAGACTGAAGCATTACAAGTTTGAAACCAGCCTCAGTAATCTAGTGATACCCTGTCTCAAAAATTAAAAGGGCTCAGAATGTAGCTCAGGGGTAGAACACCCTGAGTTCAATCCCTACTACCAAAAACAAACAAACAAACAAACAAAACAAAACAAAAAAAAACATTGCTTTGAAAAAGTGAAAAGTATCCCTAAAAAGTGAGTCAAGTTGAAACAAATTAAATATATACACAGCAGATAATATGACCAAAGAAAAGAAAATGATTCATTCAAATGACTTTAAAACAGTATTTTGACCATATAGTCCTAATGGGTGTACATTTTTTAAAAAATGAACTACAAAGAAATATTAAATTGCTATTATGCACACTGAAATTTTGCTAATAGAGTAGATTTTTAAAAATGTTTTTACGGGCTGGGGATGTGGCTCAAGTGGTAGTGCGTTCGCCTGGCATGCGTGCGGCCCGGGTTCGATCCTCAGCACCATGTACAAACAAAGATGTTGTGTCCGCCAAAAACTAGAAAGTAAATATTAAAAAATTCTCTCTTTCTCTCTCTCTCTTTAAAAAAAAATGTTTTTACCACATACAAAGAAAGGGGTAACTATGCAGGAGAATAAATAGGTTAACTTGCTAGGCTATTTTTACTATGTATATCAAACATCCCATGCTGCTTTATGAAAATAGTGTATCATGATCAAGTGGGTTTCTTTAAAGGGATGCAAGGTTGGTTCAACATACACAAATCAATAAATTAAATTCACCACATAAATACACTTACGGACAATAATCACATGATTATCTCAACAGGTGCAAAAAAAATGCTTTTTGATAAATATGTTTAAAGTAATACAGAAACTAGGGATAAAAGGAACTTAGCTCAACAATTTAAAAGCTRTATGTGACAAACCCAAAGCCAATATCATACTGAATGGAGAAAAACTGAAAGCATTTCCTCTTGAAACAGGAACAAGAAAAGGATACCTACTTTCACATCTAGTCAACATTGTCCTTGAAACTCTAGCCAGATAAGGYGAGAAAAGAAAATCAACACACATGAATCAATCACTTTCTTATATTCCAATAATGAACTTGTTGAAAAAGAAATTAGGAAAACTATTCTATTCACAATGACCTAAAAAAAATACAATATTTGGGAATTAATCTAAGGAAGGATGTCAAGGACCTCTACAATGAAAACTATAGAACACCGAAGAAAGAAATTGAAGAACACCTTAGAAGACAGAAAGACCTCCCATGTTCTTGGGTAGGCAGAATTAATATTAATAAAATATCAATATTATTAATATGGCCATACTACCAAAATCATTATACAGGTTCAATGCAATTTCCATCAAATACCAATGACATTGTTCACAGAACTAGAAAAAGTAATCCTAAAACTCATTTGGAAAAATAAGAGTCTCAGAATAGTCAAAGCAACCTGAGCAAAAAGAGTAATTCTGGAGGCATCACAATACCAGACCTCAAAATATACTGCAGAGCTATAGTAACAAAAACAGCATGGTCTGGGCACCAGATATGAAGACCAATGGAATAGAATAGAAGACACAGAGAAAAACCCACATATATCAGATAACCCAATTATCTGATACTAGACACAGGTGCCAAAAACATTCATTGGAGAAAAGATAGCCTTTTCAACAAATGGTGCTGAGAAAACTAAAATCCATATGTAAAAGGATGAAACTTAACCTCTCTCTCTCTCACTCTGCACAAAAGTAAACTCAAAGTGAATCAAAGACCTAGGAATTAGACCAGAAACCCTGAAACTGCTAGAAGAAAATGTAGATCCATCTCTCCAATACATTGGCAAAGGAATAAACTTCCTTAACAAGACTACAAGGGAGAAGATCTTTGCCATCTGCTCCTCAGATAGGGCATTAATACTCAGTATATATAAAAAATACAAAAAACACCAAAAAATCCAAATAACCCAATTAATAAATGGACAAAAGAACCAAACAGACATTTTTCAAAAGAAGAAATACAACTGGCCAACAAGTGCATGAAAAAAATGTTCAACATCTCTAGCAATCAGGAAAATGCAAATCAAAATAACACTGAGATTTCATCTCACCTCAGAATGGCAATTATCATGAATACATAATAAGTGTTGGCAAGGATGTGGGGAAAAAGGTACACTGATACATTGTTGGTAGGACTACAAATTAGTATAACCACTCTGAAAAGCAGTATGGAGATTTCTCAAAATGGAATGGAATGGAACCACCATATCATCTGGCTATTCCACTCCTTGGTATATATCCAAAAGAACTAAAATCAATATACTCTAGGGATACAGCCACATTAAATGTTGRCACAATTCACAATAGCCAAGCTATGAAATTAACCAAGGTTCCCTTCCACAGATGAATGAATAAAGAAAATTTATACACAATGGAGTATTATTCAGCCATAAAGAAGAATGAAATTATGTCATTTTAAGGCAAGTGGATGGAACTAGAGCAGACCATGCTAAGTGATATAAGCCAGACTCAGAAAGCCAAAGGTTGAACGTTTTCTCTGATATGTGGAAGCTGGTCCAAAATAAGGGTTAGGGAARAGAGAGAAAGAGAAAGGGAAAAGGCATGGGAGGGGGAATTCCATCAAAATAGCAGACKAGAGGGCTAGATGAAGGGGACTGGAGGAGGCATTAAATAAAGAGGACTGGGATGGCATTAAATAATCACACAGACAGAGAAATTACCTTTTTCTTGGGATTCAGTGACAGCTTCTCTGCCCCAGCTCCCACAAGGTGTTAAGGTCTGTAAATAAGTCAAAAATAACACCTGGTATTTTGCCAGAGAAATGTTAGAGTTCGTAAACAAGTCTGGATGGTGCCTGGCAAAATGTCAGAGGGAGTGGTTTGAGAAGTAACAAAAGTGAGCCATTAAGTGTGGAGATTCCTTATTGGTTGACTGATGTATCTAGTTTATGCTAATTAAGATAAGCTGTGCAAAATGTATAAATAGCTCTGTTGCCCTACAATAAACGGCTCCCATTCCTGCTGCATCAATCTACAGAAGTTATTCGTCACCCCCCGGTTATTTTGCTGCAGCCGGACTGCGACAACAAGGGAGGCAAGGGAGGTTGGCAAAAAATAAAAAATAATAAAAAATAAAAGAGAGAACATGCCTAAAACCATCCTATTTACTTTGGGGAAAGACATTTGAGAAAGTTCAACCCAAATAAGGCAAGGGATTGGGTTTCAGGGGGTTGCTTGGTGATGTCTTGTGGTAAGCAGATTGACATCTTAGAAGGTCACACCCATCTCAGGTGCTGTGTGGGATCAAAGGCACAGCAAGAGAAAAGGACACATATATGGCACAGCCCAGTCAGAGAAGCAACATCTTCATGTGCTCAAATGCTCAYGGCTCACACACACAGCCCATGGCTGGCTCACGACAAGGCACACTATAACTTAAGAATCCATAAATCTGAATAAATGTAAAATATTTGTAAGAAAAAAATTATGTTGCTTATTTAAGTTAACAGAATAAGTTACATCTGAAATTTTCTGTGAGGTCTTTATATTGTCTTTACATTTAAAATAAGAATAATAGAATACACTAATCCATCTTCAAACACTTGATCTTCAAGCACCTGTTCAAGTGATCATTCCCTCTACATGTGCACGCACATGCAAGCACGTTTGTGGAGCTGGGAATATGAACTCRGGGCTCATGAATGCYAACCAAATGCTCTACCACTAAGCTACACCCCCAGTCAACATTCTCTTAGCTTTAAAATTCACTTTTCTGAGAGACCCAGATGGTTTAGTCCTTCACTTAACTMAGGATTCTGCTTCAGAGAATAATTGACCCAACCACCCTATCTCAAACACTACCTAATCAGTTGGCTAGTTTGATTATTACTCATCTCTTTAACTGGAATGTATTTACCATGACAGCAGGAACTTTCTTTTCTGTTACTTATCCCTAGGACTCACAATAGTCCCTGACACATACATAGTAGTTGCTTAATGAATATTTTTGAATGATAGACATGAGACTAATAATAGAAGAGCAAAGATGAGATCATYAGCTCCAGAAATTTGTTGTAGTTGGAAAGCTTCAGTTCAGCACTGACTAGAATATGTATAAATAGGGAACTTTTCTGTAAGGAATTCTCCTTAGTACTTACTGGGGGGAGGCCACCTAAAATAAAAATAATCAGCAATCCACTGTTTCTGCTGAAGACTCTTAACTATAGTACTAAATTAAAATTAGATCCTTTCCAGCAATCCCTTGAAGTGAGTTTTAACCCCATCTTTAACCCCAAATGAAAAAGGAAGCTTAAAGAAGTTACTCATAACTACTCACTGGAGAAGCTGAGATTCAAATAAAGGCCCAATTTCAATATCATACTCCTAACTTAAACACATCCTGACACTGATCTCTCCATGGGAACAAACTGACAGTTATCAGCTGAGCCCAAATATCATAACCCAGTAGTTTTATAAATATAAGCACTCTATTTGTATCTCACTAAAATAACAGGCAAGTAAAGCATACACAGTGGACCACATAGCACCTACCCAAGAAATATTCCCAGAAATCTACTATGATGGTATGGTAATGGCCAGGTCACAAAATAACAATAGTTACAGCCTGAGATTGTGACTCAAATTATGTAGCTGTTGTTTCTCCCTTAGTTATTGTTACTTTTTGACATGGTTTGCTCTGTTAAAGCCATGTCTGCTTAAAAAAAAAAAAAAAAACAGACAATTTATCAGAACTCTGAGGCCTACAGATCCAAGAATCCAAACTAGTAATTTTATAGGCTACTCTATGTTCCTCCTTCTAAATGCTTGAGACACAAAGGAGCTCACTTTACTTTCCTCCCTTCAACCCCCCAAAAGATTTCTAGAATCTGTTCTAGAGAAAATGAATACAGGAAATTCTACTATCTAAACAAACACCCACTGCCATCTTTCTTGATTTTGTGGCAGAGTATTTCTTAAACTTTTGCATGCATCACTCATCTAAGAACTTGCTAAATTAGATTACTGGGTTCTCTTCATCCTGCCCCCATTTTTTTTTTTTGCTCAATAGGTATGGAATGGGGCCCCAGATTTTGCATTCTTAATAAGTCCCTAGGTGATGCTGATGTGCATAAAGCAAAGGACACAAAATTGAGCTTGCCTATAAGTAGGTACTACATGGGAAAACTGTAAGACATGCCAGCTAACCTAGGAATGACCCTCCTCTAGGCATTTACAGGGCAGTTGGTCTCAAGAGTTAAGAGAGCATGGAAGTAACAGCTACTGTTTCAACTTGGGTGACTCTTGGGAGAGGAATCAAAAGCAATTAGGCAAACTTGCTGTGATGCTCCTGCATTTAGTAATCCAATAAAGTGGGCAAGTTTCCGTACTTATTTTCCTAGAAGCTCTCTCTGGGGCCAATTACCTCTGGAGGACGAATGTGAAACACTGACAATTAAAAGTGTCACAGAGAGAGGGAGGGTGTTTATACTATGGTGAGACTTTAGCCACAGGGGAAATYAGGGAGCACCTGCATGGCCTGGATAATGAACAACTAAAATGAAAGACAGGTAGGCACTGAGGACCTAGTCCCTCAGGAGGAYGCTGAGGATGCTAAGGCCCAATGTGCTTAGAAACTTGAGCCTTAAAGAGAAATTCTTTGAACTGAAGAAAAAAATGCAGATGAATTAATTTCCCAAGAGACTCTGTGGTTAAACTGTCATTACTGAAACTCTATGTATGACTATGTGACTTGGGGTAAAAGGCAGGATGTCACCTAATTAATGGACTGACCATATGGTAGGATACCATACCCATCTACAAGAAAGTCAGGCATAGAAATGCAAATACTACTTAACAGGAGCTTCTGATTAATAAATGGTCCTTTCTGTCAAGTGTCTCCATTAATAAATACGTTTTAAGTATAGATTTGTGCTTCTTTAAARTCATAAATGACTCAATCAGTCTTGTCTATTTATAAGAGGCCAAAGTCAAGAACAATGAAACTAGCCACCTGTGTTATGCTTTCTGGTCATCCTATGTACTGGACATTTTTCTTTGGTAACTAACTTACRTCTCTATCTAAAATATGTCTATATCCTGCTGTTCTGCTTCTAGGAAACTTCCATATCACAGTTATCTGTGGGCAGTATTCACTTGCTGATTATCCTACTCAACTAACTCTCAACTTCTATGGYTACCACTACAATGTAAATTTACTGTGACAAGCCTCAATGAAAAGTGATGCTTCATTGAAGGGCAATCTTGAAACAAAATACCTAATGATTTGTGTGAAATGCACTGAGCAAGCTCCAGTGAACAAATTACCACAAAGGGCTTTGCTAGTGGATTGTGTCTATTCCATTGGTCTATTGTCAAATAAAGCACATCACATTGGTACTACAAAAGTAAAGGGATCCAATAACTGCACCGTCAAGGGAAAGTTATGTTGTAGAGAAAATATGGAATTTGCAGAAATGAGACCTGAGTTTGAGTTCTATCTCCTCAACCATGACTTTAAGAAAATAACTTTACTTTCCTGAAGTTCAGTGTTTTCATCTACAACTAGGTAAAAATGAAATAAAACTATTCTCAAGCTAGGTATGGTGACACACATCTGTAATCCTAGTTGCTTGGGAGGCTGAGGCAAGAGGATCATAAGTTCAAGGCTAGCCTCAGTCACTTGGTGAGGCCCAAAGCAACTTAGTGAGACTTGTCTCTAAATAAAAAATTAAAAGGATTGGGGATGTGGCTTACTGATTACGTATCCTTGGTTCAACCCCAGTACTAGGAGAAAGAGAAAGAGAGGAGGGACTTCAATAGGACTACTCAGAGAGCTGAATATGTGTGCCCTGTTGTTAGTGAGACACAGTTGATGGTATCTGACTCATCCCTGCAAAATGTCCATAGGGGAGAGCAYGGCTGACACAGCCGACAGCAGCTGAATATAGAAAAGTAGCTGCAAGTGARGTGCAATTCCATTGGCTGATGGAGAAAAGGGCAGGTTCCCCAAGGTCTTACATGAAAAATTGAGTGAAAGAGATGATATGAAACCATTTTAATAATTTCTAAGGAAACACCAGAAGGGAACAATGAAAAAGCCYATGAAAAAAGAATCTCTAAGGAACCAGTCCTCAAAGAAATATGACAAGGACAGAGTAGCCAGCAGTACACACAGTAGGCCATCAAAAGAGTTCACTCCAGGACCTGTATTTAATCCATAGAAGGAGAGTTAAACATTACACAGACCCAGAGCAAAAACTCAATTTAATAACAATACTTTATGAGGTAGGACTTGCCTGCCTTCTGTTCCCATCTTTCACATTTCAACCCTAATTGGCTTGCAATTAGAGTGAGGGTGGTAGGGGCAAAGGCAGTTCAGGAGAGGTGAAAGGCCAGGTTTAAGGTCCTTCCAGGAAAAAAGAGCAACTTTTCCACTTTAAAAAATCTGGAAGCTTTACTACTGCTCGTTTACTACTAAATCAGACACTGTGAGACTAAATTACCTAAAGACTTAATTTTTTATTTTTTTATAGACACAATGCCTTTATTTTATTATTTAATTTCATGTGGTGCTGAGGACTGAACCCAGTGCCTTATGCCCACTGAGCTACAACCCCAGCCCAGGACTTTTTTGTTTTGTTTTAAACTGATGTTATACCTAAAACTATTTATTAAGGTGATCAGAAAAGACATGCAATTGGCCAAGTTTTTATTTAGGAAGAGATGAGAACTTTCCTCTCTAAGTTAATTCTAAAAGGATGGAAAGTGACAAATAAAGAAATTTTCAAATTCTATGTATGAGTCACAGTTGTTCAAAAAAACATTTAAAAAATGAGCCTGTGGAGTACATTTAARAGTTAAGCCATAATAATCATGAAGTAACATTTGACTTTTTAAACTATGCATTTGTATCACTTTGATTAAAAAATCAATTATCAAAAATTTTAAGAGGTAGGGATGTCATCTAGTACCAAAATGAGTATGTTATGGTTTGGATCTGAATTGTACCCAAAAGTTCATGCTAAAGGCTTGGTCCCCTTGCAGCAGTGTTTAGAGGTGGAGCCTTTGAGAGGTGGTTGGATTATTAAAGCTCTGACCTCATGAATGGATTAATCTATTTATGGATTCATAACTTAATGGGCTTTGGGAGGTGGTGGAAACTTTAGGATGTGGGGCCTAGTTGGAGGAAGTAGGTCACCGGAGATATGCCCTTAAAAGGTACATTTTGGCTGGGTGCAGTTGCACACGCCTGGAATCCCAGTGGTTCAGGAGGCGGAGGCAGGAGGAGTTCAAAGCCAGCCGCAGCAATTTAGTGAGCGGCTAAGCAATTCAGTGAGACCCTGTCTCTAATAAAATACAAAATAGGGCTGGGGATGTGGCTCAGTGGTTGAGTGCCCCTAAATTCAATCTCTGGTACCCCTCCCACCAAAAAAGGGTACTTTTGTTCCTCTCCTCTCTCTCCCTCCCCCCCCCCCCCCCCCCCCCCCCCCCCTCCCCCTCCCCCCCTCCCTCCCTCCCTCCCTCCCTCCCTCCCTCTCTCTCTCTCTCTCTCTCTCTCTCTCTCTCTCTCTCTCTCCCTACTTCCTGGCCACCATGTTGTGAGCAGCTTTGCTCTATCATGTACTCCCTGTTCTGCCTCATCACAAGCCCCAAAACAATGGAATCAAGTGACCATGTATGAATCTGAATCGATGACATAAAATAATCCTCTTCTCCTTTAAGATGATTTTTCTCAGGATTTTGTCACAACAATGGGAAGCTAACAAAGGGCACTTTGATGGTACTGGTAGAAACTAGGACTGCTGCAGCAGTGAAAAACAGGCTCCAAGGAAAAGCACTGCTGGCCTCCTCCTTACCACCAGCCCCTGGGGTTTAAGATGCAGCCTCCCAGTCCTACCTTCAGCACCAAACACCTCTCCACAGTGAGAGCAGAAGAAGTGCTCTGGGTGCCATGTCTGGTTCATTGCTGTTAGCACTTTCTAAAAAAGGAACACAGAGAGAGACATTAGAAGACTGCAGACCTGTCAAACATTATCTGGGTTCTAAAGAGTGATTAAAACCTACATGAAACCTGAGAGGAGAGAGATTTACTTACATCCACAATAGGAGCAGCGCAGTAGGCACAGCGTGGAGAAAAAAGGTGGTGGTAGTCTTTGGGGCAGTAGGCCAAGCCACTCCGCTCGAAGAAGGGACTGGAGCCAATCTCTTCTTTGCAGTGAGTACAGACAAAGTGCTCTGGATGCCATGACTGTCCTAGGGCATGGATCATCTAGGGGATGACATAAAGCCAGAAATGGAAGCCCAGCAGACTACTTTTAAGGACTGAGGTTGCACAACTCTGTAGGCCACTGCATTCCACGTAGACAACAATCCCTGGACTTATAGCACACTTGAGGTGGTCTCTTGTCATGCTTAATGAATAGTAAAAGGGTGTCCACTTTCCTGACTGATCACTCTGATAAACATGGGTACATGTTCCTTTTCATTCTACTGCCTCAGAAAACAGTAGAAAAACATAGAGCACACAGGTGATAGAAGAGAGATAACTCCAGTTTTCACATGGAAGGGATCCTTGGAAGAGGAAAGGGCCAACTGAGTTTTAACTCTTCTGCTCTGYACTTCATCTCATGCCCTACAGAAAGCCCTCTACAAATGGATCTGGTAAAGGATGATTCAGAGCAGGACTTTGTGGCTATGATTTGAAGACACATTCAGCTGAAAACTAATCAATTTAGATCAGAAATGTTTGAACAAAGGGAGCAGTRAAATAGGTTCCATCAATAAAGATGATAGAGAAAAATGGTTAAGAACTCAACCTCAGGCATCAGATTCTCCTGGTTTCAAACCTCACCTCTGTCTCTTACTAGACTGTGGGCAGGTCAGTTGATGCCTCTCAGCTCTCAACTTCCTTGTCTTTACAAAGGGAACTAGGGGGACCATTAAATAATGGCTGGTGGGACCATTAAATGAGGAAATACTTATAAAGCACTTAGCTCTGTTATCAGAGCACTACAAGTGATCAGTAATTATTAATGCTTATTTAAAAGTCTTAGGATATAAGTAGAAAGTACTTTCTTTGGCAGGGCAGAGAGACAAACACACATATACAAATGCTATAGGTCCAGACTTAGCTCATCCCACCTTCCCAGCAATCGGTTTCTGGCAGGAAGCACAGTGGCCCTTGGGCACGGTGGCAATCCCAAGGTCCTGCAATTCCTGCTCCAAACCCCCAAGCATTGAATCCAGGGAAGCCTTGTGATCCTGCTTGTCTGGAAACTGTTTCTTGCTGGCATCTGCCTTCATCACAACCTGGTACAAGGAAACCACAAATAGAGTTAACTTTCAAGTACTTTTGTTATAGTTTGTATGTGAGATGTCCCTCAAAAGCTCATGTGTAAAACAATGCAAAAAGCTTACAGAAATGATTGGATTATGAGAGCCTTAACCCAACCAGTGAACAAATCCCCTTTGGGATTAACTCAGTGGTAACTGAAGGTGGGTAGGTTGTGGCTGAAGGAGATGGGTAACCGGGGCATGCCTTTGGGGTATATATTTTGTATCTATCAAGTGGAGTCTCTTTTTGTTTTCTGATCATCATGTGAGCCACTTCCCTCCACCACACTTTTCTGCCRTGATGTTCTGTTTCACCTGGAACCCTGGAGAATGGAACCAGCTGTCTATGGACTAAGACCTCTGAAACCATAAGCCTGTAAATAAACTTTACCTCTAAAAAATGTTCATATCAGGTCTTTTTTTTTTTTTTTTTTTAGTCACAGCAGAAGAAAAAGCTGATTAAAACAACTTTCTTGGTATTTTCTACACAACCCAGGATGCTCACCTCTACCAATAGATTTCTTGGTCTTCCCTTAACTTTCCTCTAAGATCCGGAGGAATCCAACATTTTAATACCAAGAGAAATATTTTCACTTCCCTTTTATTCTAAATTTCTAAAGCCAAATGAAAACTGACCAACCTTCTTCTATTTGTAAATCTTTTCTGACTGTAGAAAATTGAGTACATGAATATGATATCCTCTCTAACTCTTATAATGACCTAAGTTGACAATTAGTCCGGTCTTCATTTTATTTATGTATTCTACAATCTTGGTTGAATACCTAGTTTGTGCCAATCATGGCCCTCAGCACTTGGAATAAATCAGTGTACAAGACAAAMCAAGTTTCTAGCCTTATTGATTTACATTCTTTGGTACACAGTAAACAAACAAACATGTTGTAATGTCAGGTAAAGCTATAGATGGAGGATGAGATGGTGAGGAAAAACTGATTTAATGGGCTAATCAGAGAAGACCAAATATCACTGAGGAAATGATATTTGAGCAGATTATTTGTGTGGTACTTAGGGACCCAGAAATATAGACAGCTGTGGGAAAGCATTCCAGAGGGAGAGAAAGCACTGAGGAAGGAAACAGTTTGGCATATTAGAAGACTTTGCAGTGCTGGGCTAGAACCCAGGGCCTTACACATGCTAGGCAAGTGCTCTCTACCACTGAGCTACATCCTCAGCTCCTGATACATTAAAAGAAAAGACAAAAGGCCCCAGGTGCCTAGAGTTGAGGGACTGAGATTGAGGACAAGATGATGGACAGAAAGGCTAAGATCACATGGGGCCCTCATGGTAAAGACTTAGGTTTTATTTCAAGGTGATGGGAGCCACTGAAGGATTGCAAGTATCAGAGTGAAAGAATCTGGCTGACAATASCCCTGTAATGGTTCATTGCAGAACTAAGTGTCCATAAGCCATAGGGAAGCAGGGAGACTATTACATATTGACTTAGGCCAGTGTTAGAGAATGGAGAAATGGTCAGATAAGACATGCCAATAGACTGGATTTTTTWAAAGCAAAATTCCAAGTTAGTTATTATAAGCCAAGCAACCGGAGATTCTCAAATTTAAAAAAAAAAAAAAAAGGGATATTTAACTTGTCTCTCACCACTACGTCCTCATTCTGCATTGTCCTATTTCCTTCCAATTGGGCTACTACTACCTTCTATCTAATGCTTAGCTGATCAGAAGCTACTATGGCTCCCTTGCCTCCACATCAAATGTGCACTCATCAGAAGGACATTCAAAGCCTCTCATCTATTGCCTTCACTTTACCTTTCCAGTCTACCTTTTATTATGCAGCAAAAGGCCTCTTTGTTCAATGCCAGCAGGCTCCTATGGTCTTCTGATCTTGATGGTTACTCTCTACCTTCAGACCTCTACTTATTCTATTTTGCTGCCTGGAATAACCTCATATTATTTCACCAATAATAATGCTAATTTCCTTTTTCCTCTATTACATAATACTAGTTAATGTTCAAGAGGTAAGTAAGGCTAACATCTGAAGGCCCTGAAAGGGTGACCAATATTAAGAATAAAAATAACTAAAATTAAAAAACCACAGTATAGCTGTATCTACATCTGTATCTACCTCTTATGTGTATATTCCAGAATACTTTTAGATAAATAAAAAGCAGGCTACTAGATGACTGGAGAGACAAAGATAACAGGAAAATAGTTTAATGTAAACTTGTTTGTACTTTTGATTTTTGTACAATGTGAATGTAAGGTTTAACTAAAAACAAATATTTTAAATCTAAATTTAAATATAACAAGAAACATGCCAAATCAATCACAAAACACAATATCATAATGTAAATTTTTTCTAGCATTTTCAGATATACAGCATAATGAGCCAGTTTACCCAGATTGACTACAGATATTAGCTAATCAAAGAACATTAACTTATTAAAGAAAGTTTGCTTGAAATGTTCATTCATTTGTCTCTCTAATAAATATGTGTTACTCACTATGTGCCAGGCATAGCAATGTGCTGGGCACTATGAGTCCCCAGGTCAGTCACAGAGATAAGGTCCCTGACCTCTCCAATCACACACATTTTTAATGCCTTAAATTTTTTTCATAGTTATGTCTTGAATGTATATCAACTCTCCAACCAGATTTAGAGTGGTTGAATCCTCTACCTTACGAATTCTATATTATATTCCTTTAATAAATTCTTAAGTCCATTTATTTGATTTCCATTCTCTTCCAGGACATGTGAGCCTTTATCTTCCTACTTTGATCTCCCCTGCCTTGTCTCATTGGCCTCTTCTGTCCTGCTCAGTCAGGTCTCCCTAACAGTTCTTAGATACATATGCCCTCTGGGCTTGTTGCAAATAAAAGTACTGCTCATCTCATCTCTTTATGCTCAAACCCCAYCCCTTCTTCAGAGTCAGCCCCAAGTCCCATCCCCACCTCTCCAGTAAAATCTGAGTAGCCTCACCAAATCCCTAAAGTTTGCTCCACATATTTTGGCAAACCACCTTTTACTCTATAGAGGCTTATGCCTCATTTTACCAAGCATATTCCAAGCTCCTTGATATCAAAGCCTGCACCATATTATCATTTGTTTCCAAATAACACATAGTACAAAGTTGAGTTTCTCCATGAATTGAATTTAGTCTAGGAAGGCAGAACTGAGTTCCTCAAAGAATTGTGCTTCTCTGGGCCTCCTTTATCTTTAAGGAACTTAGCTCATCCAGATTGCACCCACCTTGGCCTGCATTTCACTCAAATGGGCCATGAGTTCATCCAGCTGAGCAGCTGCTGAAGTTTTAGGAAGTGGTGGTGATTCCTTTGGCTCTTGAACTTCACTATAAAGAAAGAGAGAAAAAATGATATAAACTTATCAAAATTCAAATAAATGTTAAGTCACACACAAAATGCACTTTTAACTATTAACCCCTGAGGCGTAAATCTAAAATCAGAAACAAAATGATCAAAAAATAGCTCTTAGATTAAAAATCTGAACAAAGTCTCTATGCTTTTTGTCCCTGGTCATCTCAAAAAATGATGTTTTCAAGTGTGTAAAGGAAAGGGCTTAACATGTAATTGAGAGGGTATTTTCCCTCAACTATGATGTACCAAGCAGCCACTAAATAAATCTTTAAAACCATAGCCATACATTTTTAATTTTTAATCATATTCTTTTTAAAAATTATAAGGTACTATATCTCCCCCCTCAGGTACTGTCCAACAACAAAAAAATAAATAAAAAATAAATAAATAAGAATATAAAGCAGGCATTAACAAGCTAAGGTCCATGGGCTAATTCTGACCATGTCCAACAAATGCTGCCTACAGGTGTTCTCTGCAAGGCTGAGTAGTTGCTACAGATACCTTTAGTCCACAAAAAACCTCACATGTTAATTCCTGGTTCTTTGCAGAAAAATTTTGCAAATCCTTGGTATGGAAAATGGAGATAATGTACATCATGGTGATTCCATATTTAGATAATTGGGAACAAATAAAACATTAGCCTAAAAATAGAATATAGGAGCTATTTAAGTAACTRCATAATCATTAGTAAAACTAACCAAGTATGAGGAATCAAAATAAGGCTCAAGTACAAATTAAGCAAAAATTATCTACTTAAGAAACAGAAGAGTACTTCTATATAATTATTATGATTAAAAAATAATTAAAACTGAATGTTCAAATAATTTATAAATAGCAATGAGAAAACACACACACACACACACCCTTGGAGTTGAAAACAAAGTGTCACTGAAAGAAAAATATATGAATGTAGTTAAGTCAAATACTAAAAAATAAGAGAGATCACAAATAAAATTTTTAACTCAAGGCTCTAAAAAAGACTCCTAAAATACTTAAGCAGGAGTTAAAGCCTAAATTAATGAAGCAGAAAACAAACAAGGAAAAAAAAATGATAGCTTTTGAGGAATATTGTACAAAACTTCCAAGTATAAAGAAAAATATGGAAAATGACCCAATTAATTCTATGAATATTACAGAAACTTGATACTAAAATTAGACAAAGAAAGAGCATTGTGTGTGAGAGAGGAATCTTAAAGACAATAGCAGAGCTTGCTTTGGTGACACATGCCTATTATCCCTGCAGTTCAGGAGGCTGCAGGAGGATCACAAGTTTAAAGCCAGTCTCTGCACCTTAGTGAAGCTCTGAGCAACTTAGTGAGACTCTGTCTCAAAATAAAAAATAAAAAGGACTGGGGATGTGGCTCAGTGGTTAGGCCCCACTGGGTTCAATCCCTAGTATAAGAAACAAACAAAAGAAATATGTTTTTTAAACAATCATGGCTAAGTAGTGTTTATGTCAATCATCCTGAAGGGTTCAAGATTAGGGAAAGGGATAATATAATTCATTATGCTAACAAATAAGAGAAAAGCTTTCTAAACATGTCTATAGATACTGAAAAAGCAGTAGAAATCAAATTTAATGATCATTCCTATTGTTGAAGATTAAGGAAAAAAAGAAAAAGTCCTTAACCTGATCAAATGTATCTATAAGAAATATATACTAGCCTCCATATTTACTCATCAAATACAAAACACATTTTAATTAAGACATAAGCAGAACACCAATATTACCATTATTCCTTATTTTCAATATTATTCCAGAATGTATTACCAAATACATTAAAAATAAAACAGTATTTGAAGAAAAAAGCAAAGCACTCTCACTTTTATTTTCTTTTAAGATAGGTAATATGATCACTGACCTAGAGAATGTAAAAAAAAAAAAAGTGATTGAACAGCTATCAGAATGAAGACAAAACACCGGAACCATTACTATATACAAGAATAAAATGAAAGAATGAATTTACTATCAACCAGCACTAAGCAATTAGAAAATTAAAAGGGATCCATAATACCAAGATAAAATTACAAAATATTAAAAAATAAATCTAACAAAAATGTAAGATTTCAATGAAGAAAAACACTGGAAGACATAAAAGTAGACCCACATATATGATTAAAATATAAGCAAAGGATCTGAATAGCCATTTCTCCAAAGAAGACATACAAATGACCAAAGAGTATGTGAAAAGGTGCTCAACATCATTAAACATCAGGAAAATGCAAATCCAAGTTACTACGAAATGCTATCTCATACCTAGAGGATGCCTATTATCAAAACATCAAAGATAAATATTGGGGAAAATGGTAAGGATGTAGATTGGTGCAGTCATGGAGAAAAAGAGTGGGGGGGCTGGGGATGTGGCTCAAGCGGTAGCGTGCTCGCCTGGCATGCGTGTGGCCTGGGTTCGATCCTCAGCACCACATACCAACAAAGATGTTGTGTCCRCCGAGAACTAAACAATAAATATTGAAGAATTCTCTCTTTCTCTCACTCTCTCTCACTCTTTCTTTAAAAAAAAAAAAAGAAAAGAAAAAGAGTGGGGAGGTTACAATAGAACCATTAAAAATTGCTGGCATATGATCCAGCAATCCCTTTTCTAAGCAGATACACAAAGGAAATGAAATCACCACCTGATAAAGATATCTGCACTCCCATGTTCTTTACAGCACTATTCAGAATACCCAAGATATGGAAACAACCAAAGTGTCTGTTGATAAAGACTTAAAATGAAATAGATAGGTAGGTAGATAAGATACATACATACATATGTACATACATACAAATAGATATGTACTGGAATATAACTCATCCTTAGAAAAGATGGAGTTCTTGCCACTTGCCACAATGTAGATAAATCTGGAGGACATTATGCTAAGTGAAATAAGACAGACACAAAAAGAAAACATTGCATGATCTCACTTAYATGTGGAAACTGAAAAAAATATAGAAACAAAATAAAACAAGTRCTGTCATGAGTGAGGTAGGGGACAGGAAATGAGGAAATTAGGTCAGAGATTACGAAATTGATGTGTAACCCAAACAAGTCTAGTGAACTAATGTACAACATGAGTGCTATAGGTACTGTATTTGGGATTCCTACTAAATGAATACATTTTATCTGCTCTTGCCACAAAAATTTAAGAATAATCATAAGATGATGGGTATGTTAATTTGCATCATTAAAGTAATCATTTTACTATCTATATGTACCCACAGCATCAACATGCACAACGAGCTTTAAATATTCACTATAACAATTATTTAAAAAAAATACCCACACAAGCAGAAATGCATGCTATGATGTCACTTTCCTTCAATTAATTAATTCAAATAAAACCCTAATAGAATTATTCAACCTATGAAACAGATGCTAAAACTCAGGGCTAGAACTAACCCAAGGAAAGTTAAAAAAAAAAAAATGAGTTGAAGAAGGAAAATCTGTTCCAATAAATGTAACATCTTATAAAGTAACAGTAATTTCTCTCTCTCTCTCTCTCTCTCTCTCTGTCTCTCTCATTTTGCTCTCTCCCTCTCTCTTTCTTCTCTTTCCCTGCTCTCTCTCTTTCTCTCTCTTTTTCTCTTCCTTCCCTGTTAAATCAGATACCACTGCAATAAAGATCTTTTGGTCGCTCAATAAATAAATAAATAAATAAATAAATAAATAAATAAATAAAGTGACAGTAATTAAATGTGTGTGATATTTATTAAGAAATAAATAAATATGAAGGAGAAGACTGTAAAACCCAGAAACAGGATCTTACATCTATATGATAAATGTGGTATTTCAAATAATCAGAAATAGGCTATTGAACTCAGGAATAACAAGGTATTTGGAGCATAATAAATTTAGAACCCCCACACACCCTAAAGCTGAATAAATGTGGGACAAATTAATAATACATTTTTTTTGTTGTTCTGAAGATTGAACCCACAGGCACTCAGACACTCAGCCACCAAGCCACATCCCTAGTCTTTTTTATTTTTTATTTTAAGACAGGTCTTGCTAAGTAGCTGAGGGCCTCGCTAAGTTGCTGAGGCTGGCTTTGAACTTGCAATCCTCCTGCCTCAGCCTCCCAAACTGCTGGGTTTACAGGCAGGCGTGTGCCACCATGCCCAACAAGATACAAAAGATACCTTAGCCTAAAAATACCACCATAAAATGGAGAATTTTTTTTTTGTCATTTAGGGTTGATGAAATCTTTTCTAAGAAAGGCATAAAACTTTGGAGTGAAGTCAAAAAATAAAAAATACTGATAATGCCAATCTTAAAAAAATACATGTAAATATTTAGAACATACATAATATTTGAAAATTTGTAAAACTTCTATAAATTGATAATAAGAACACCAACTAATAGAAATCTGAACAAAAGGCTTTTAAACAGGCAGGTTTCAGAAAAAGAAACTCAAATAAATGTTTATCAGTATATAAAAATATGCTTAATCTCATTAATCTTTAAATAAGCAATTTAAGGCAGTGAAATACAAATTTATATCTATTAGTCAAAATTATAAAACCTTAATAACATGCAGTGTTGGAAAGTCAGGATTATACATACACATATGCTTTTATATACACCATGAGTTATATAGGTTTACCTTATCAAAGCAACATCTATCAATTMTTCAAATAGATATGTTTCAATTCAGCAATTTCACTTCTAAGACGCTATTCTACAGAAAAAAAATTGAATACAGACAGACAAACAGATAGAGGTGGATATATGTACAATATACACAAAGATATAAGAGCAATACATATACATATATAAATGAAGATATATGTTCAAAGAATTTATTACAATAAGGTTTTTTTTAGCAAACTGAAAATAAACTAAATGGAGCTATAGCCAAATTTTGGTTTATTCATGCTACAGAATAACATACTGCCACCAAAAAAAAAAAAAATGCAGACATAGCTTTATATGAACTAAAAAGGATTTCTAAGATATATTGTTAAATTATAAAAGCAAAGCCCAGAACAATATGAAAAGTATCCTCCCATTCATATAAATTTGGGTTGATGATTTTTTGCGGGAGGGAGGGTACCAGGGATTGAACTCAAGGGCACTCAACCACTGAGCCACATCCCAGCCCTATTTKGTATTTTATTTAGAGACAGGGTCTCACTGAGTCGCTTAGCGCCTCACTTTTGCTGAGGCTGGCTTTGAACTTGCGATTCTCCTGCCTYGCCTCCCAAACCACTGGGATTACAGGCATGCATCGTCGTGCTTGGCTCATTCATATAAATTTGAAGTACATATAGTAAGTGTGAATATGTGCACAAAAGTCTGTAAAGAGGTATACCTCCCAGCAGTTACCCATGAAGCTAGTAATTAGTTGGTGGAAGAAAGACTCCAATGGGAAGAGGGGTATCTGACTTTTTAACCTTTATATTTTGGAATCCACTGACTTTTTACACATATGAGTTTGTGAAATATTTTTGTATCTTGTTGTATTTTCAAAACAAAACAAGGGTCATATATACTAGAAAAATAGTAATGTACATGGCCAACAGATGAAGTGGTAGGCATGGCAGATGGGGCCAGCTGTAGTGAAACTCACAGGTGTATCTCATTTGTTATCTAGACACAGACAGACACACACACACTYTCATATATAATGATTGTTTAAACAATCTGCAGTAAAATAAATACAGTCACAGTATGGAGATCCTTATTTAAACTTTGTTTCTATGTAGAAAACTTAAAATGAAATATAAAAAAAAATTTAAACCATACATATACCCCCTCTGAGGAGACAATTATTTTGTACATTTTAGCAGCTATCATTGCAATTTTTTATAATTTTGTCTAATTTTAGACAATTTAAGTGGTATTCTATTCATTCGTTATGCACGTATTTATCCATGTTTTGTAACTATAACAACAGCTAGCATTTATTGTGTGCTAATAGTATGACTGACCCTTAATAAAGAGAACATTTGTTCTCTTTAAATCKTTACAACAACCTTAATTGCTAGGCACTGTCATCCCAGAGGAGAAAAACTGAGACTGAGAAGAAGATAAAATTTTTTCTCAACAAAATACAGGTGAAARATAAGAATTTGGGACTGCAGGCTACAAAGTTTGTGTTCTCTATCTTCCAAAATAATGCTTAAAGGCTATATGATTTCCAAATATATAATGTGCTATAATTTATCAAACCAAGTTTATTGTTAGGCACATAGATTTCTCATTTTTGCTAATATAATCAATACTGTTAAATAAATACTCACACCCATTTGCAATTATTTCCATAAAGTTAATTTTAGGAAGTGGAAAAACTAGGTCAAAAGGTATCACAGATAACTGGCTCTGGAATCAGTTCTTAATAAACCTTAACCAAGAGAACTTAGCTAATAAGTCATCAAATCAACACTAATGAGAGAGAGAGAGAGAGAGAGAGAGAGAGAGAGAGAGAGAGAGGAGTAAAACCATAAACAAGAGAAAATATTCTTTCACGAAAACTATTTCAAGAATGAAAACATAGCCTTACTGCTTTACTTATTATTATATATGTGCCAGCCAAGAAAAGCATAGAAGGAAAATGTTACCCTTCTCTCTTAAGAAAAAAGGACTCATTTGGGTTCATGTTCCAACGCTAGCTTAATTATTTTTCAGTATTTAACAAGGAAAATATGAAAGGAAAATTAATATCTCCCTTTCTTAAAACAAAAAAAAATTTGTCTTTTAAGTACTGCAAGGTCCTCTGCCAGATGCTAATGTTTTATTTTTGTTTTTAAATCTAGGAAGGAATCGTCAGGTATATAAGTGACTGATTCAGTTCTTCTTGATACAGAGCTCTTCCGCAAAATCTTTCAGTCATAGTCCCTTAGTACTTGCCACCACAGACATGCTCCTGGGAAGCACATCCTGCGGCTCTGTGTCCAAGCATAGAATAATTGTAGTTTCTTATCAGGATCTGCCCATTCTTAATCACTTGTACTTATTCAAAGAATCCCACTGGTTTTTAACTGGAGTCCTACTGCAGCATATACAAAGAAATAGATCACTGCCATAATACTCTAATAATAAATGAATCAACCACATAATATTCTAAATAAGAAATGAGACCTTGCAAGGGGGTAGGAATGATGGTGGAATGAGTTAAGACATCAGTACCCTARGTACATGTATGACTTGAATGTTGTGAAAATACTTTGTATACAATCAGTGACTTGAAAAATTGTGCTCTATATGGGTAATATGAAATGAATTGCATTCTACCATCATGTATAACAAATTAGAATAAATTAAGAAAAAAAGAAATAAGACCTTGAAGAGTTGTAATCATCAACTCTTAAAGTGCCCACTGAGGGAAATGTTCCTAGAAAAAAAGGAACCTCAAGTCTTTGAATTGTCCCCTAAATTTTTAAAGATAGTAAAAGTCAMCAAAAATGACTATGTCACCAGAAATGACTTATTTCATTACTCAGAGATCTTATTAACACAAATCACAAGACATACATTTAAAAGAATCTGGACTTCTTAAGGAAGGAGTTTCATTGTGTTGGAGTTTTTCCCATTTATTCTTCTGTTCCATTTTTATGAATTGCTGCTCCCTTTTATTATCAAAATTATTATTTTTGTTCATGTAAAACATACAATTCTAAATTATTGCTCATATTACTACTGATGTACAACTGTTAGAAATTTATTTCATTACTATATTCACAGCTGGTATTGAACATTTTTTTCAAGTTATATTGAAAACAAGGTTCAGTTCACTGAAGCAAGCCAGAGTAAATGGTGGAAACATGCAGAGATCAAGATTCTGAGTCTAACTTTCTATCTATGCATGCTAGCATTCCAGGCTCTGAATTATACTGCCTCTGGGATTCACAAAAGTCTATAAAATATTTACAAGTGGATTTTATATAACTCTTCCACACATGCCTACATAGCAAGTATCATTCAGAACAGGGAATGTATCAAAGTCCAGTCAGGAAAACAGAAACCACAGTGAGTAAACAAAAGGAATTTAATCAGAAACTTGATTACACAGGTGATGAGACAGCCAAGAAGCAAAAGAAGACAATGAGGTAACTCAGAGATTAGCCACAGCAGGAATTCATCACAGCCTTAAACCAAAAGGATAAAGAAAAGAGGAAAAGCTGCCAGAATGCAAGGGCCCAGGTCAATGAGCTGGAACCACAGCAGATCTGTCACGCTCCAGCTGAAGCCATAAAAATGTAGCTGATGACAGATATACTGTGGAAAGACAGCAGCTGGGAGAAATGCCCTGGATTTCCTCCTCTGTACCCCCCAATCTCTCCACAGTGCCTCATATTGGTCACAGGAAGAGCTAACAAGAAAGCCTGAACTGCAGAGTCAGCTCCCTGTAATATGGAAGAAATGAGGGGGAATGGGCCAAGGATTCTACGCAGAGCAAGGGGTGTTGATAAGTTAGTACTGGTGTTGCTCGAGCTGGTTTTCATGTTATGTATYTGTTCACTTGTATTTCTACCTTCCTTCCTGCCTTCATGGATTTAAGAAACCRAGTATTTTACTAAGAACTTTTTGTGTACCAGGCACTACTTTCTTATTGTTTTGCTTCATTTGTTTTTTTTTTTTTTAACTGGGGCAGGGAGGGGGAGGTCAGGGGAACAGCTCATCCCACAAGTTTCTGGAACTAGAACTAAGTGGCAAAACATATATTAATAAACTGGCCTCACCCYGACCAAAGTAGAAAATGCCCTCAAGTGAAGAGTTTTATTAAAGACTTCTTATATTGAGTCCTTCTGCTGTCTTTGCCTTGTGTGAATGTATTACTGATTGTGATTCTGAAACCAAAATAGTGTAGTAGAACATGCAAAAATTTCTACTGTCTAATATTGTAAGCCCTTTGAACTGTTTCCCAGACAGTTGTCTGATGWTAAAAACTACAAGCTATGACTGAAGAGAGAACAACAACAACAAAAAAATGGCCTTTAAAAATTTTCAGACTACCAATTCTGCTTGTGTCAGGAGAAAGKATTTAGTAAGTGAATCTGTTTCAGTATGTAACTTTCACTAAAGGAAACTTTTCACCAGCTAAATGAAATTGGAAGAAACATTCAAGAAAGAAGTATATATTCAAGTCTGCCATGGAGCCCCACTATCTGATGTTGTTGGAATCTTCCTTATGTTTCTTGGTATGTTTTCTCTTATGTGAACTACAGCACATATCTGGACTAGACAAGCTAAAACATCTGTGGTGACTCTGGGACTATTTAGACTTTTTCAGATGGCAAAGGAAATAGCAGAGCCCACAATCCTGGACAGCCTGTCTGGAAGCCAGGCACCTGGAGAATCTGCCAAGTCAGGTGAGCAGAGTTCTACATCTGCTCAAAGAGAAAAAGGAGGAGCGTAGAGGAGTGATAACCATTGACACTTATAAACCAACTGCTCAAAGAGTGACAAATCAAAGTTATTATCTAATATCGTTAGTTTTTTACATATTTAGTAAAAACAGAAACCCACCTGTAGACATTGGGCTCCTGGATACTTGTAGTATACACAAGCTGCACCTAAAATAYATAAGTGACAAAGAAGAGCAAAGAATGATTTCTGTTGTTAAAATATTGGTTCTTATCAACATTAGGAGTTACAGGATGTTTTTTGCTTCTAAAGGGGACTGATACACRCCTTTAATACCAGCAGCTCGGGAGGTTGAGGCAGGAGGATCACTGAGTTCAAAGCCAGCTTTAGCAATGGCAGGCGCTGAGCAACTCAGTGAGACCCTGTCTCTAAATAAAATACAAAATAGGGCTGGGGGTGTGGCTCAGTGGTTGAGTGATCCTGAGTTCAATCCCAAGTATCCCCCCTAAAAAAAATTAAAGTGGACTGATAGTTCTGAGATATCAGAGTAAATCACTGAGATCTCCTTTCCTAAGACACAGGAATTACCAACCCTCCTGTAGAGAAAGGCCAAACTTTATAGAGTAGTTGGCATGAAAACAAATACTAGCAGTCCCTCCCTGCCTGAAAAGCAATGAAATAGAGAAGTACACCCTCCTCACATAGGAACCATAAAACAAACAGAAGGGCAAGAGTAAAGCCCCTTTATTTAACCACTCAGGATGGTGCCGAGAGTATAAGCTACAACACAATCAAACTTGACATTGGAAAAGAAATATGTGTGAATCCATGGTGATTCACTAAATAAATACTGAGTACCTGTCATATACCAAGACAGAGGATATAGCAGGTCAAAAAACAAAACATAACAATCACATAAAACTGAATGTCCTACTTCTGGTGGTAAGAAACTGATAAATAACAAATTAATAGGTAAAGTTAATCAGGGGGTGCAAGATGCAAAGTAGGGGAAAGATTGCAGTTATAACTATATTAATCAAGTAATCACTGAGTAGAGGTGCTTGAGCAAGAACTAAGATGAGGAAAATACACATATATTAGTGGTAACATGATTCATGTGGAAGCAATGACTATAAAAAACACTCTGGAGCGTCTTGTGGCCTGAGGAGTGGGCGCCAGGGAAAAAGGGGCAAGATCATGTATACAGAGTGGCAATTTAACCTACTGTTCAAAGTGGGACACTTTTGAGGGCAAAAGGGAGTTCTAAAAACAATTCACATATAATTTTTGAAATATGTATTTTTATCAAAAATTTAATTTTTATTATATTGGTGAACCTACAAAATAATTCTACTCAATACTCATTTTCTAAATAAAAATTTCTAAAATATTTTAAATGACTATATTTACAAACATTAGGGCAAGTTTAAAAAACTCATCTGAACATTTAAATAGCACAAGTAAATTAATTATTCTTGATATATGGTCACAAACCTTAATCAGTTTCTTAGCATTGCTGTCTCTGACATCGTGATATAAAAWTTTTTTTGGAAAATATATTCCTTTCAGWATGGTGCTATCGTTCTCACAAAATTGAAATCTCCTTCAAGGCTGAATTTTATGGTTAATATATTTGAATTGCTGATAGTTTTAATTTATACCTGCTTGTAGACCATAATGTTTTTAACTGGTCTGAAGAGACCTTTGCTGTGAATTTGTACATTCAGAGCAAATTCTGCTAAATGGAAAATATTCTCAATTCTATTTTTTATGCTGAAATGTGTAAATATTTTGGGACAATATTTTCACAGGTGCTGCCTTTCTGCTTCTCTTTCAGAGCACCTTTCTTCAATAATATTCTTATAAGCCAAAACTTTGATATACTTTGACAATTTTATTTCATTCGGTGGAGAATATAAATTTATTCAATTAAAATAGGGATCAAAATCTGATTTTTTCAGAAACACAATTTTCAAATTAGTAACTAAACCACTGAACTCTCATCTTTAGATTTGTTCAATTCTCAGCTTTTGTAGCAAGAAATCTAAGCTGCAACTTTTTCAAACTCATTACTCCCTAAAAGCTTCAAAAGCAGAATTTTAATGCTATTTCACTGAATAATTTAAGATTTCAAACTSTTGCTTTTTGGGGAGTGGAGGAATACCAGGGATTGAACCCAGAGGCACTTAAACACTGAGCCACATCTTTAGCCTTTTCTATTTTTTTTTTTTTTTCATTTTGAAATAGGATCTCCCTGAGTTGAGCATAACACAGGCTAAATCTGGGTTACTTCATGAACTGAGACATTKCCAAATCGAAGGATGACAGGCAAGACAGCGAGGAAATATATACAGCCATGTAAAATTGTGTCCTTATATTCAGTATCAGCTYCTGTCACATGTTTTCTACATCAGTTACTTATAAACTCCATGTATATATACTAATATTTGTAAATTTGAAAAATTTTGGTTTCCATATTGATTAGTAGACTTTGAATTTTGTTTGGATGCAGTCGTGAGTTTTGTGCACATCAAAAGTAATTCTGAGTACATTTCTGTTCCRTAGGTTTTGAGTTAGTAAGAACATTGTTTTTTACCACAAAKCTGTGCTTCACCAACATTTGTATTTATATTATCACCACAAAAAACAATATTTTATCTTCAGTGTCAAATTTTTCAATTAAACTTACGATAACCTCAGCAACATCAGATGTTTCCTTTTTTTTWAAAACTAGAGAATGAACTTCCACATAATCCAATCCTTTGAATTGGATGAAATACAACCAAAACATTTTTGTAATTAACAAATTTTCTAGTGGAGACATCTGATAATATTGATATAAAACTGACATTATTTGACGGTTTTTAAAGGGAAACAACTCTTTAATCAYCACCACTTCAAGTACAAGCACAAGAAAACTTGGAATGGAAATGAGCAAACTTGATTTAGAAGAGTCATTTGATACAAAGGGAAAGGTGTGCTTCACACTGACACGTAAACACACCTCCTAGAGCAGCTGCATGTTTAATTATCTAAATTTGTCTTAACTTTTGAAGTAGATGCCAATTCTTCTCCACCATATTTGTGCCTTTTGGTTTTCAAAAGGACAATGATATCTCTACTTGCTCCCATYGTGGATTTGGTAAATGTTGACAAATATTTTGTGAAAGTCACACATTTATTAACAGCTTCTYTGAGCAAACAAAACTGTAAGTTTTGGCTTCATTTAAGCTAACTTCTAAAAGGCTTTGTTGTAAAGTTAAAAAAGTGTTGCCAAACAATAAAACAAATCCTTAGAGCTTGACAGAAGCAAATAAATAATCTGCACTAGAAAGAATATTCAGATTACACTATACTCTATGACAAGAATGCTTCACTTCTATTTCCTAAACATCATTTGTATAACATTAAGCCACAACTTCCCATGTTTCTGACTGACTCCGAGGTGGCTCTGTGCATGTCACAWATAACCACATGGACAATGGCAGGGCATGAGCAGGTATACAAAGTGGCCCTCACAAATTTTCCTGCTACCACCTAAGATCAGAGAAGTCAGCTGTTCCTGACTGCTTGTGCTTGAGTTCTTAGCTTTAAGAGCCAGCAACTTGTACATTCAAGGTACTAGAATAAATGAAAAGTTACCGAGGAGGGATTTGTGTTACCCTGATGGGGCAGGATCTTTGAAGCCTCAGCAAGGTTACTCTCCTTTTTGGAATGCTGATCCAGGGAAGGAGGAGCTGGGTTAGAATATTCATCATTGTCCTGGAGGGTGGATTGTTCCAATTCCTCCAATAAAGCATCTATATAAGAAATAAGAAAATTATAACATAGAATAAGTCTCCAGAATTATTTTCTCTTTAACCAGTGTCCCCATTCATCTCCTTCTCTTGGATAAAGTTATTTTCAAACACCTTCCCTTCCTCCTTATTTCACTTACACTGTGACCTGTTATACCAGGATATAGTTAAAGCCTCCTTATATTCTGGCTTCTTATTTCCTATGGTTGCATTCAGTATCATAGTCTCACTCTATTCTCTGACTTCTTATATTGCAAGTATTCATTTTATTCATTCATTAGGGCAGACCACCCACAAAGATCCCCAACTAGGAAAAGATAATCCTAAATATAAAGATAGATCCTAAATATGTTTCTTATCAGAAAAATATAAGCAATTTTATAAACATCTTGAAAAATACCAGGGAAGTAACACATTCTTAACCCTGGTGATTTTTTTTGCTGTTGTTGTTTTAAATTTCAAGAATGATTCCAAGCAAATAAAAAATTCTCAAAACAAAGTGTAAGTATTCTTTTAGGGTGTGGAGAGAATCAGAAGTTGAAGAGAAGACAGATATTGCAAAATCAAGATGTTGCAATTCAAATAGTTGGGACTTGTTTCTCTTGTAGTTTTCTTGGGAAAACTTTATAATTATTTATATTAGCACTTTTCTGTTGTAATGAAATTAATAATAATTAATAAAAATTAACACACACCAGCCACAGTGCTCAGAAGTTTACACATTTCATTTAATTGTCATAACACTTTGAGGAAGATGATATTATTGTCCTTAGTTTTAAGATTGAAAAAGAGACAAAATAACCAGCATAGGTGCAGAACCCAGGACTTGAATCTGGGCTATCTGATTCCCAGCCCCCAAACAAAGTTGGAGGTCATAGTCCCCACTTCTCACATGGATTCCAGGTCTTCTTGAGCAAGACATTGTCTCTGAAGCTGTTTCCTCATCTACATAAAGAAGTAGTTGGATAGAACAATATTTTTCAAATTGTGCATCAAGACTCATTAGTGGATTACTAGTGGATTTTTTAACCACAAGTTAAAGTTTGTAAAGCAATGAATTATATTATTTCTAAGAACCTTCCTAGCTCTGAAGTTCTCAAATAAAGAAAATGAACTTCACAGTTCATTCAAATTAATAAACACTGATTTTCATTTATGTCAGATTTGCGGAGTAAAGATATTTCTTAAAGGCATAGGAAAAGATCTAATCGTATTTTACAAAAAATTCTATGGAACTTTCTCAATCATGCATACCACAAAATTTTGACATTCATGCACCATTTTATAAATAAGAAAAATGACATCAACTCTTCTGGTCAAATTACCCTTCAAGAATAAAGTAATGGGAAAAATAGCAGGGAATATCTAGAGATTAAAAAAGACTTAAGGGCCAGGCTCGGTGGCACACACCTGTAATCCCAGCGGCTTGGGAAGCTGGTAGGAGGATCGTAAGTTCAAAGCCAGCCTCAGCAAAAGCAAGATATAAGGCAACTCAGCRAGACCTTATCACTAAGTAAAATACAAAATAGCGCTGGGGATGTGGCTCAGTGGCCAAGTACCCCTGAGTTCAAATTCCCAGTACCCAAAAAATAAATTAAAAAAAAAGACTTAAGGGATTTATAACTAACTTCAATATATGATACCTATTTAATCATTAAGTACACTTTAAAACACTAAACTTTTATACACCTTTGAACACTGAATAGTCAATAAATACAGTTAGTTTATTCTAGGTGTGATAGTTTTGAAAATATTAAGTGATTTCTGTTAATTTTAGGTGTGATAATGATATTTCATGATATTGAGAGAAATCACTATTAAGTCTGTTGTGAGTGTAATACTGCTCTTATGGTATAAATATACTCTTACATTAGCAAATCTGAGAAGTAGCTTTAAAATGATACAAAGATGGAAAGAATAGGTGGATATATATAGAGAGGTATATATATATATATATATATATATATATATATACACACACACACACATATAGGTGTATATAAAATTGATTATGTATGTTCTACCTTTGCATATTTAAAAATTCCCTTATTACAATGCAAGATTTTTGGTTTTTATTGTCTGTGTGTGTGTGTATGTGTGTGTGTGTGTGTGTGTGTGTGTAGTACCAGTGGTGCTTTATCATTGAGCTCAACTCCCACTCCTTTTTGGTTTTTATTTTGAAACATGGTCTTGCTAAGTTGCTCAGGTTGGCACCCAAGTTGACATCCTCCTGCCTCAGCCTCCTGGAATTACAGGCCACTATGCCCAGCCTATAATGAAAGGTTTTAAAGAAGAACGAAGAAAAAGAAAATTAAGAAAGAGAAGTAAAACTTTTTGTCTCAGAATTTCATTAGCCAGACTCAATACTAAATTTCAGAATTGCAATTGTTTATTATATTAAAATATAGCCTCTTTTTAATTTTCTACGAAGCTTTGCTACAACCAGAAGTCAAAGTTCTTCCTAGATTAATAAAATGCATTTACAGTAAAAATTGCAGGAAGCAGGAGACCATACTGTGAAGCGCATGGAAGTATCAGCTATCAAAAGTCACGAAAACTCTCCTGAGTCATGAGTTAACAAGGCTTTCTCTTCCTGTTTCCTGAAGAGTTTCTGCCTTTTGCCAGATTCTGTAATCTGAAGATGACTCATTTCAGTATGACAGATGAGATTATTGGGTGTGGAGAGGTACTAGACTAAAAACCCTTTAGTCCTCTCCCTAGTGCTTCACCATGGAAATCAGTACCTACATTTATATGGAAGGAATGCAGTGAGGGATCCTGGGAGTCTCCCAAGGTTGAAATGATCCATAATACTCCTGGTTCTTCTACCATCCTCGTGTAATGAGGATTTAGGTAAAACCTATGGGGCTACAAACTCCTAACCTCTAAGGCAGTACTGCAGAGGGGAAAGATTTGCTCACCTAAGTCACACTATTCTCAATGGTATTCCTTTGCTGAAGCGGGAGGGAAACAGTCTTGGGGTAACTATGGAGCTGATGATAGTTTGAAGAAACTGATGGGGTACAGCCATCAATAGCCCACTGGATAATCTGTACATGTTAGCTTCCAGAGTACTTGGTACTTTCTACATTTCTCAAAAAGATTTCTTTAACATCCATCCTGCTCAGTAAATGCAAAACTACACAATTTCTTAATGGGGTTATTTCATTGACCAGAATACCTGAACTAACACAATTTTAGTACAGGAGAACACCTTGCGGCTTAATTGGTTTTGATATCAGATGCTCCTGGGAGTAACACTGAACAAGTTATTATGGTTTTTTACCTGAAAAAAAAGTATTTTACCTGAAAAAAATCCTATTTTAGAGGATTGCTGCAAATACTAAAATGATTTACAATATCATCTAGTTTAAGCCAATGTCACTGAATAAGTACTAGTTTTCTTTGATTATCTTAATGAAATTTGGTACCCTTTAAAAAAAAGAAAACCTGATGGGACTCAGGCAGAAATGCAAATTCTCCCAACACTCACAATTCATAAGAATTTGTATTCTATCCCAGGTTCAAAATATGCTACCTCCTATCAAGTGTGGTGTAGTAGGCCTGTAATTCTAATGGCTTGGGAGGCTGAGGCCAGGAGGATCCTAAGTTTAAGGACAGCCTCAGCAATTTATCCAGATTCTGCTTTAAAAAAAAAAAAAAATTTAAGGCTGAGGATGTAGCTCAATAGTAGAGAGTTCCAGCTTCAATCCCCAGTACTAGAATTTTTTTTAAAAAAGTCAATCTCCAGTATCAAAATAGACTTTACTTCAAAACAGTTCAATATTTATTAAACATCAACTTTTTTCTTTTCATTAACATTTCTCCCCTCCTGTTATTTGTTCTTGTTCCTTCCTCTTTCTCCAGCTCTGAAATCACACTCCAACCAACATTTTCTTAAAGAAATTGTACAAGATATCTAATTTATGGTTGTTGTTTGCACTCTTGACATATCTGTGAACACACACAAATCCTAAACACTGAAGAATTAATACAGCTTGAAACCTTGGTACAAGTTCATGGCTCAATATTAGGAGACTGCTGCAACCCCCCCCCCAAAAAAAAAAGGTTGGCAAAGCCTACTGAATGAGTACCAAGAATGAAAAACTTTGCATTACTCCAAAGCTTGAAATTAGTTCCACTGCCCATTTTTCTTACTTGCCTCAAAGTGTAAGGAGGAGGTATTATATTTTCAGGCCACAGTAATCTACTCCTTCTGGATTCCTCTGAATAAAAAGCTTACCAACAAAATCACTGTAGTTATAGTACTATGTCTTCTTGATTTAATACTATGCCATAGAACAAATAAAACCACTCTGGCCTTTCTCCAACCTCTGCGGATCCTTTTTTCTTGTACTTCTACCTCATTTCTCTTCCTCATAACACCATCTCCCCCCATTTTCTTCCTTTCACATGGTTTCTCCACAAATCACATCTCTGCAGTTGTCTAGCTGTGTAGTCACCCTGTGATCTCCAGCAGTCCCCAAAAGGGAAAAGCCCACAATAAAAACTGACAATTTCAGTCACAAATCTGTCCAGAAGTACTTGTCCCAGAGTTCACAYTGTAGTAAGCACCAAACTCTCTGCATATTGTGCCACTGCAAACAGTAAACTTACTGTTGCCCCAATCATAATTCCTCATRCTCACTCTTGTCTGGATTGAGGATAGATGCGAAAAAAATCTTCCAGCACTATTCCCTGTCTGACTGCAAATACACCCCACCATACATGGAGATGGTGGCCAAGTCCTCATCCTCTCTGTTTCTCCTCCAAGATACTCCTCACTCACCCAGCTCTTCCATTGTTCCACACCCAAGATGTTCTGGTCTCACAGGTAATGAAGAACTGCTTTGGCATGTGGTGAAGAAGAGGACCACAAAGGAACTAAATGAGACCGTCTAAAGCAGCCTCTACAACTTTTTTTGGTTCCTGTATTTGCTTAACACTTCCTCTCTTTTGATTTGGTGAATTTCTTCTTTTCTTGTAGGTCACAGTTTTTAAAATGGGACCAATATAGGAAGCAGGTTGGAAGGTTTGAGTTTTGGTAGTTCATTGGTCAGGGTGATAAAGATTCAAAACTAATTTAACACCTGCTATGTGCCAAAATTCATCTTGAACTAATGGGAATGGCAGGTATACACTTGTGGGGTTTTTTCCCCAAGTGTAGATAGATAACTCATGTGACTAAGAAACTGCTCTTTTTTTTTTTTTTTTCTGTGAAGCTGAGGGACCATAGAGGCACAGCCACCTTAAAATTTCAATCAGCATTAACCAACACCAAGTTCTTTACTAAATTATTCATAAATTAAATTTACTTGCTTTCCTGTATAGTTTATAAGTCCTTTAAAAGCAGGGCAGAAGTTGGATTCTTGGCCACTGGCTTATTCAGTGGTCCAAAATGCAAACATCTATGAAGTAATGAAAAATAAAACTGGAAGGTTTAAGATACAAGGTACTAGACTGTGTGGACATTTGAATTAAACACAATCCCCCCCTTGTGACATTACCCTGTAGCAGTTTTTGTTTTTTTAACTGACACTGTGATTAATTTCTTATCACTGTTATTTTATTCAATTGGGTGAAATAAAACATTTACTAAAGGCCTACCATCAGGCAGTAAGGAACTGTAATAATTGCCTCTTAAAATACATTTTACCCAGTTTTTAGCAGTGAAGTAGGTTCAAGGAATCGTAATTTATAACACACTAGGTAGYATTTCTACTTACAATAATCCACATTTTAGGTCAAAGCCCATGATCTTTCTTCTAAAACACAGTGGTCTTTTGCTTGTTTGTTTAAGGAATCATTCCACTGGTTTTTTTTTTTTTTGGGGGGGGGGGCAGATATTTCTCTGTATTACTTTATGCAGCCATTGGATGTCAGTGCTGTTTTAAAAGTCTGCTCACTGCAAATACTGAAAAATCCCCCAATGACACTATGCTAAACGTTTTTACAACTGGAAATGACATTAGCTCTATGAAAGTGCAAAACTCAGTAGTGAATTATAAAACATTTGCCTAATCTTAAGTGGTAAGTAAAATACTGGAAAGAAAAAATGTACTTCAGCAGTTATCTGCAGTTCAATTTAATGATTAACGAGAAACTTGGAATTGAATCCCCAGATCTTCTTTCCATTTTCCTCCTTTTCAGGATTTTAACCTAGGATACTTTATTTTCCAGAGGTAAAGAACTATTCTTGCAAATCGTTCCTTGATTATTAGGGATTAAAGGAAGGAATGGGAGAGGACCACGGCATTAATGACTACAACTTGAAGATCATCAATGGAAACTCCCTTTTGACGCATCAGGAAAACAATTTGCTTGCACACGCTAGCGAGCAGAAAAATAACTTCTGACAAAGCTGCGGTCCCGACCGTGCATCCTGTGCAGCAGTAACATTTATAAACCTCAAACTTCCGGGTGGGGAGTTTAGCTTCTCCGAGGTCACAAAAGTCACGCTAATGTCCCTTCTCGTCTCTCTCCAGCTCAGGGACCACAGCCAAGCCAGGCAGTGACGCCAGCTCCTTGACGCCTCAACATCTGGCAGCAAAGCCACTTTATAATGAATTCCACAAATTTTATTAAAACTGAACTGAGTGGGGCATTGCTAGACCCCTGCAGACCCGATGGACGCCGATTCGCTCCCTGACCTCCAAGGGCTGGCAGGAGAGCGGGTCAGACACAGGAAGACAAGACGAATAATATAAAATGAACGCTAGCCGGCCCCATGATAAACGTCATTTGAACAAACCAAAGTAAATAAGGATTATGATATGGCCACTCCGGAAAAGCTACGCTAACGCCAAGAAAGCACCAAGAACTGAGAGATAGCCTTCCGGGCAAGCCTTCCAGCAACTGGCTCAGCAGCTGAGCCCGGATGTAGGCAGGCGTCGCGGCCTAACCCGGAAACGTTGCCTCCGGAAAAAGCAAACTACCTTTCCCGTCGTGACTTGGTCAAAAACTCCCAGCATCCTCTCCGCCTCTGGTTTCCTATCATTTTTCTTGAAGCGTAGGGTAAGTACGACTTCATTTCCCAGGATGCCCTTGGCCAAATTATCCCTGCGCATGCGTCAAGAGGCGGGCCCACGTTACTCCGCCTCCGACCTACCGCCGCCATTTTTTCGGAGACTTTCATCCGGCAGCCGACGGGGCTTTTTTTCTTAAAGGAGAAGCGACAGCTCAAAAAAATTTCCCCCTTCTCCCCGCAAGACCTGGCGGCGTTGGGGACAGAAAGGACAGAGACAGGGAAGTGGGGTAGGGGTGGAGGCGGCAGAACGCCCAAGCTACTTCTCTGGTTTAAGGAAGCTTAGAAACAGCCCTTGTGGCACTTGCGGCTCCTTAGGGAGGCAGGTGCGCGCGCAGCTAGTCCGGGGCGCGCGCAAGGCGGAGAAAGAGGTACTTTTTCTAACCACCCGCCTCCCTCCYTAGATCTACCCCTCCCACTGTCCCTAGCGCGCATTGAACTCCGGAGGGGGGAAAAGGTCACTTTGTGATTGTCGCGAGACGAAGCCGTTTAACGGTGAGACGGGTGCGCGGGGAAGGAAACCTCGCGCGCTCCCTTGGAGCTGTTTCCTGATTGGCTGAGGCAGGGGTTGGGGGCGGGAACTTAGTACGTCGCTGCGTCAGGGACCGCGGGAGTACGGGCAGGGAGGCCGATCCTCTTCTCCGATTGGTCCGCTGAGCGTTTGTGGCAGGCGCGCGCGCGTGCCGTCAGCGGTAGCGGGTCTTGAGTGGCAGGGGGCGGGGGGGCACCCTCGGAGCGGGCGGAGGGGAGGGGGGAAAGGAGCTCAGGGTGAGAGTGAGCCGGACGCTCCGGGAGGCGAGGGGGGCGGGGGGAGCAGCGTCGCGGCCGCCGCCGCCTCCGCCTCCACCGCCTGGAACGAGGGGGTGGGGGACGGACGAGCCCCGATGCCGGGGGAGACGGAAGAGCCGAGACCCCCGGAGCAGCAGGACCAGGAAGGGGGAGAGGCGGCGGCGGCCAAGGCGGCTCCAGAGGAGCCCCAACAACGGCCCCTTGAGGTGGCGGCGGCGGCGCCTGCGGGGACCACGAGCAGCCGCGTGCTGAGGGGAGGTCGGGACCGAGGCCGAGCCGCTGCGGCCGCCGCCGCCGCCGCTGTGTCCCGCCGGAGGAAGGCCGAGTATCCCCGCCGGCGGAGGAGCAGCCCCAGCGCCAGGCCTCTCGACGCCCCAGGGCAGCAGTCCCAGGCCGCGAAGACCCCGTCTCCAGTTCAGGGCAAGAAGAGTCCGCGACTCCTGTGAGTACCGCAGCATTTCAGGCGGTGGTAAAGACCCCCCTCTGTCTGCACGCAACCCTCTCGGCTCCCGTAGCGCCCACTCCACGTGACACCCTGCCTGCTCTGCCCCCTGCCGGCTCTGCACGCCAGATGTCACGCCGTTTCCCGGTTTGCGGTCTATCGCTTCCCTGCACCCTGGTGTCCTCTACCTGTCTGGCCACTTTCCCGCTCCCTGAAATCACTCTTTGTATGGTGCTCTCTTTTGCTCCCTGATGACCCCACCTCTTCCCTGCCGCCCGCAGGCATGTCCCTCTCTGGCATCTGCCACCCCCTTTGTCAGCCTATCGCTTTCCCTTCGGCTGCTTTCCAGTATTACATCACATCCCCATTAGGAAATCAACAGCAGGTTCCTTGCCTTCAGGAATGCCCCCCCCCCCAATTAATTAGCCCAAGAACCAATTCTAATAGTATGTTTATGTTTTTACTCTCCTAAATTGACAAATTCATTTTTCATTTTTTTGTAAGAATTTGATACTTCTCGTCAGGGCAAAGACGTATAGAGTATTTTGTATAACTAAACTAGGTGAATACTTAATTTTTGTTTTTACCAAGTAGCATGTTTTTTCTTTAGTTATGCATGTATTTTAATAGGAATGTGTGCTTCATTCTTAAGAGAGAGTCTGGAAGGAATTATTACCTAGAGGTAATAGAAGAACCACAAACAAATGGCTTGGAGCATAAATATTTTAAGTAATTTAAATATAATGTTTACATATTAAGAACACTGGAACACACAAAATTTTAAATTACAAAGCTAATCACATTAGCTATTGAATTTATTGCTGAGAACGTCATTTGTGTCCTTAGACCAAGTGAAAAAAAAAACTAGTAAAAGCAAAGAAAATTGAAAGCAGTGTCAGTTTTAAGTTTCCATTCCTCCAGTAGAGAGAGTGGCAAGGTTTGACTTGCACTACACCCAGTGCATTTAAAGCCTAAAAGAAACTTGTGACCTGGCATCCTTGTGTTAGAAACCTCAGGAAAAGGAATAGAATTCAGAGGTATCATTTTGGTAGAGAAGTGCTTTCAAAGTTCTGAATGCCATTTAAGTTAATGTAACTTAGAGAATTTATTGTATAAATTGCAGTTCTGTGGACAATAAAAATTTGTATCTAGAAATTTTTCAGCTGCAGTTGGAATTCTAATTGCTGTAGATGCATTTCGTGTTCATAAAAATTTTAAAGTTCTATACTTAATTTCTTGTAAGTTTCAGAAGATAGGTATTATTAATCTTATTTTGATATAAATTCCTTTGGTGACTTTTTTACCTGTGCCTCAGGTACTGTATTTCACTATATAATTGTGGCAGATTTCATGCCAATTTTTTTGCAAAAAGGTGGGGGGTATGACCATTATACAGATTTTTTTTTAAGTGCTGGTATTACTTAAAATTCACTTATTAACTAAATAACTTTGGTGCAAGATTAGGATGCACAGAATACTTGTGAATATATGTTAGAATTAAGTAGCTCAAATCTGTGCACATTTCTTTGTGACAGTTTAGAGGATATATTTGTTTAAAACAAGTTAACACATTACTTGTTATTAATTCATGCATTAGAATCAAAATATTACAAAAGAAACTTAAGAAAATTTATTACAGTGTTGCAAAATACGAATTTAGGAAATTTAATCTGAGTCCTATCTTGCTGGGTT